AGGACAGTGGGCTTTTTCAACACGCACAAACCTAGGGTGAACTATCATTCCACAGGGGTGGTAGCATCCAAGCAGGGTCAGCAGCTCGGTGGTCCTATTGGCAGTCATTTTGGTTTAGCCTCTAGGTAGCTGGCTCCAGGTTATGATGAGGCCCACAGCACCCCCTGCAGCCTTGGCTTTGGGCTCTGCCTATTCTCTGCCTTCTGAGATAAGTGATGTCTACTTCAGCTCATGGGTTTGGGAAGAGGGTTTTTATTGGGCAGCGTTACAGGTTGGATTCACATGGTGAAGTCCTTCAGTGTCTTGGGATGTGACCATGTTTGGAGATGGTCTTTAAGGATGTGGTGATGAGGGTAGGCCATATGGAATGTAGTATAGTTGGTGTCCTTATACGAAAAATTAAGACAGTGACACACAGGGACAATGTGAGGACGCAGGTTAAGATAGTCAGTATACCTAAGGAGAAAAGCACCAGGGAAGCCAGTTTTGCTCACATCTCGGTCTCAGCCTTCCAGCTTCCAGAATCAGGAGATGATAAGTCTCTGTTGTTCAAGACACTTGCTGTGTGGTACTTTGATATGGCAGCACCAGAAATTCTACAGGCGGCTGGCAATTTTCCCTGAGTGGTAGTGCTTCTTGGGGAAATGCTAGGAACTGAGACTTAGTGGTACAGAACCACAAGTGACCTCCGTGGGCTTTGTGGACCTCCGTGGACTTTGCTGTGACTTCAGCCATTGCACTTCATGCTAGTGTTCCTAATCGTCTCCCTGTGTCTAGGGAAGCAGGCTACGGCATAAAACTGTCAGAATCATTAGTGCAAAATCATTGTCCTCCATCCATCCTAAGTACTCAATAAAAGACACTTATGTTCAGGATGAGAGGAGCTATCAATGGAAAAATCTGCTGGGTTACAAAATTATGCACATTGATTATCCATCTTTAATAACATTTGCTTACCCACAGGCTGGGGAGAAAAACAGTCTTGTTGCAGACTTAAAAACATGTCTTGCTGACATTCCAAGGTGCTGGGAATAAGGATCTCTTTGAAAGTGAAAAGTAGCTAAAGGGTGTGGAACAGACACTTTTTGTTCATTGAAACAGAAAACAGAAGGGAGTCGCAGTCCGAGCTCCCCCTTCGGCTTTTTGAGAGTACTGTTTGTGGTGGAAAGACTTTCCTTTGAGTCAGGGATCATTTAATCACGTTGGTTTTGTCTTGGTGCGCATAAAGCTGCGCTGTGGAGGAAAACGTTCCAGGCCTGCCCTCTTGCCTGCCCCTCTTGGTGTACTGCTAGTACACTGCAGGAAGAGGGGGAAATCATTTTAGACTTTTGATATGTGCTATCTGTTAAAAATAGTGCTCTTGCCTCTCTTCAATTAGGAGGAAGGCAATATTTTTAGGTCCCGACACAGTTTGTTTTTAGTTGGAAGCCACGAAGGCCATGAGACAGAAATCCCCAAACAACAGCTTTCTACTGGAGTGGGTGAATAGCCGAGGTTATTTATGAGTCCCATTTGAAAAGCTCAGCACAGCATACCCTGGGTGGGTGGGATAAGAATGCACACTTTGGGGGTGTGTTTGATTGCCTCCAAGTTCCTTTGAAATCTTGTAAAGGCTGTGGAAATTGAGCTTGTGCTGGATCTGAGTCATGCCAGCTTAGCTTGTGTTTGGGAATCTGATCAACAAAACAGCTGCCCTTTACTTCTTTGTACAGCAGGTCCACACAATGCTGTAATTGTGGCGACAGGGCTGTTAGCGCTCAGGAATGAAACTGCAGCCCCCAGCATGCCTCTGGAGGCTGCAGTGCTGGAAAAGGAAATAACCCACCAGTGGCCAGTGTTCCATGTAAATGTGAAGGATTTAATAAAACAATATCATAATGCATGCCCGCACAATTTCTTTATCATGCTTCCTCTAAGAGGTGGGGTTTAATCTTTGGGGGCTTTGGTGTATGTTGAGTTCTTTTCATGAAGACAAGTTTCTAGAATGAAAAGGGAAAAATAAAGATCTCTCTCCTTTCCATTCCCCTTTCTGGAAACTTCCTTGACTTTCAAGCTTGTCTCTACTGTGGGTTTATAAAACTCAGCTTAGGAGCTGAAAACCCAGAGAATAACTGGGTTCAGGGCTCTATTGCCTCTTCAGACAGAAGCAAAGGACGAAAGTGACTTGGGTACCATGTGAATGTTGGGTGGGAGAGAGACTGGGTACAGAGCAAGCAGGGAAGGGGTTGGGGATGTCAGTTGGAAACAGCCCTACAAGAGTTGGTGAATTCATCCTGCGCTCAACTTCTGCACATGCTAATTTTGGGAATGTAGTCTACTAGAGAGTGCATGCACTATTTCAAGAGGTCATATGTATTAGCTTCTTCAGTCTAAAGATGACCCTAGGTGATGGTGGAGCAGGGGACTGATCAGACACCAAAGGTGATCAGGCATGGAGGGCCGCGGTATGGTTCTTACTAAAACTAAGGCTGTATCTAGAAGATACAGGAACCTCAATGAAGTTTGGGCAGGAAGGAATCTTAGCCAGTTCAAACAATACAATCATTTTTAAGCCGTATTCTTTTTGTTTTGTTTTCTTGTAGTTTGAGTTTGAGATAGGGTCTTGCTATGTAGCTTGGCTGGCCTAAAAAACAGCGCATAACCTAGGCTGCCTTCAAAATTGTGATAATGCTCCTGCCTCCACCTCCCAAATGCTGGAATTATAAGTATACACCATTATGCCTGACTGGATTGTGTCGTTGGTTATTTAGCTCACTGAAAGCTTTCTTTCCCTTTCACACTACAGTTTCAAAGTGGATTATGCTGGGGCAGAGTGGGGGGGCACAACACGTGTTATTGGATCTCACCCATAAAGTGCCCCGACTAGGTAGGTCTGGGGTGCTGGAGAAGGTCTGTTTCTAACTGGTTTCCAGGCAGTGCTATCACTACTGTCCTGAGGGCTGTGCTCTAAGGAATACTAATATATATATAAACTAATATATATATATATATATATATATATATATATATATATATATATAAAATCATTTCTCATGTGCAAATGCTCCACAATTCCTGGCCAAACAGAGTGAATCAAGCAAATTTCTGTGTGGCCACTCTCCTGAGTAAAGATGCTGTACTGTGGTTATAGGCTGCTCCCTGGACTGAGAGGAAACAATGTGTGATAAACACACACACACACACACACACACACACACACACACACTTTTAATCTTTTTTAGACAAGATCTCACTGTGTACTCTGAGGCTGTCCTTGAACTAGCAATCCTCTGCCTCAGCCTCCCCTCTGCTGGAATTACAAGAGTGCTCTGCTACACCAGTTTCTCACTCTATTTTGTGTGCGTGCATGCCAGTTGTTCATTTAGCCTAGATTAAAAGGTAGGACCAAAGCTTGCATAGAGGCTCCTAAGTCCTTTTCTCTGGATCTTTTCAGGTCATAAATAAAGGTGGAATCTAGTGGGAACAGGTGTGTTTGGGTGCCTGGTGATATACAATCTTTTAAACAGAAGAAACAGTACAGCCATCCTTAAAGACAACAAATCTTTCTGAAAGTACTATTTTTCTATCAGGGATCTAAAGTATGGTTGCTTTTTATTGAGAAAACAAAATGAGCGCATGTGGAACTGATACCCCCTCTTTCCTCCTCCCTTCCTTCTTTCCCCCACCCTCTCTTCTCCCCTGGTACAGAGCTAATGAATTTTAGTAACTGCTGCCCCCCTTTGAGTCTTGGAAAAGTGCTGATGAAATCTTGTGGTGTCATAAATCCTTTTTTTTTTTAACTTATTGCTTTCTCAAAGTGCCTTGATACAGATTTTCATCCTCAATACTTTGAAGGATTTGCATTACTTTTCTAACTTTTGATAATGATTGAGCCACTCAACATGTTTGGAATTAGATTGCCTCAAGTTTAAAATGCAATGATACATGTTTGTTCTTTCTAAAAAATTAGCTGATCTTTCCCATGGATTGTGAGGAATATATTTTTTCTCCCTCACTTCTTCCCACCCTTCCTTCCCTGGTTTGCATATATAGCCCAGGATGTCCTTGAACTCATATATGCAACCAGGCATGATGACCTTGAACTACTGATCTTCCTGCCTTGGCCTTCCCATGATGTACTTCTTCCAGGGAGGCTCCACCTATTAACAATACATCGACCTTCGAAAAATAGCATCATCAGCTGTGGACTCAAAAGTTCCAACACGTCAGCCTGTAGGGGGTGTACTGCATTTAAACCACAGCACAAGGGCGTGCCAGACCATATACCCTTCCTTTTAGGGAAGTGCTGAAAGTCAGGAAAGGAGACCCAGTCAACAGACTTCCTGTCTCCTTAGAGCAGCGGTTTTCAATCTGTGGGTCATGAACCCTTTGGGGTTATATTAGATATCCTGCATATCATATATTTACATCATGATTCATAACACTAGGAAAATTATAGTTATGAAGTAGCAATAAATATAGTTTTATGGTTGGGGGTCACCACAGCATGAGGAACCGTATTAAAGGGTCACAGCTTTAGGAATATTGAGGACCGCTAAATATTAGACACTAAAATTTCATTCTGTGGAAGGAGAGCATTTGAATATTTGAAGGGGCTGGAGAAGGGACTTTTGGGTTTATCATTTCTTTATTTTATTTTAATTTTTTTGTCTATAAGTGTTTTGCCCACACGCATGGCTGCACACCACATGCATGTGTGGTACCCCAGGAGGCCAGAAGAGGGTATCAGATCTCCTGGAAACGGAGTTTTGGATGGGTAAGAGCTGCTGTGTGTGTGCTGGGAACTGAACAAGTGTTGTCAACCTCTAAGCCATCGTCCCAGCCCTGGTTATTATATCATGTGAAGGCAGCATTCTTCTGTTGCTCACCCCTTCTCCAAACACTCAGCTCAGGGAGAAACCTAAGTTTCAGAGGCATCTTGGTATAGACACCTGAAAAGCCCCAACCAGATTTATATGTAGGCAAAGCACTGAAAAAGTCTTTATTCTCTGTCTCCACAGGTTAACTTCGTGGCTTGCCAGCTCTTTGCCTTGTCTGCTGCTTTCTGGTTTAGAATCTACTTACATCCTGGTAAAGCCAGCCCGGAGGTCCGTCACACATTGGCCACCATTTTGGGCATTTATTTCGTTGTGTTTTGTTTTGGCTGGTGAGTATGAACCTCATAAATTCTAATGTTTATCACTTGGATGTTTTGTGATGATATTCTTGGTAAGAAATACATGACATTGTAAAATACCTCCTGCATTGAAAAGTTTGGTGAGATTGTGAATGCTGTAGATACCTTACTGTAAACTAATTGGGATGTCCTGGGAACCTTCACTCATGTCAGAGACTAGAGCTGGCAAAGAAGCTAGCCATTGGAAGTCAGTGCTGTCTTTTCCCCTTAGGATTAGACCTCTACAGACCTCCTTGAGTCATGCGGATGGAGTGTTATAAGGATTAATTTTTCCCAATAAGGGACCCCTCCCTAATCTTTGCAAATGTTGCTGTGTTTCTTGTCTTGCTGTTGGAGCCTTGGTGTTAGTCCAAAGGTTTCAGTGCAGGGATTAGGGCCATGAGTCATTCTCTATCAGATGGAGGGTTAAACTTAGTGTAGATACCTCCTAACACCCAAACATGGCAAATACCTAGGGAGTGGTACTTCTTAGGGTACATGCTTTAGAGATTAACATTTCTAGAAGTATCTCTTCAGGGAAATTTGTGAGTTTGTTGAAGGTATCAGGATACTTCTCTAACCCTGCCACAAACCATTGGGAAAGGATGCATATTTTGAATCAGCCACTGTGTTAAAAAAAAACAGAACAAAACACCCCTGATATGTGGGGTTTTGGTACTGGTATTCTGAAACTTACAGAAATAGCTATGGGACTTAAAAAGCATAAAGTCCACCCAAAAGAATTCCTTTTGGGCTTTCAATTTTATATGGGATGCGAACATCTTCAACTACTCACTTACTGATTCCGGACGTTCCAACGGCTGCAACTGCAAACTGTGTCCAGGTTTCCTGGTGTCTTTTTGAGAAATAGTGTTTTGCTTCCATAGAACAATTCTTTGACTTACGTTCTCTCATGCGTTAATGAATCCTTTGCTCTTTGGAATGGGTAGGGGTGGGTTATCCAATGCGTAGGTCAGTACGAATTTTTCTTAGCACCTCCCCCTTTCCTTCTATCTTAAAGGTATGCTGTACATCTCTTTGTGCTGGTGTTGATGTGTTATGGAGTCATGGTCACTGCAAGTGTATCCAATATTCACAGGTAAGATCCTGAGATTGAGCAGTGTTCGGGGAGGAATTTTGTGATCTTCTGAAATGTGTTTTGCTTATTTCCCCTGAGTGATGTGTCTAAGGGCCTCCAGAATGTCAGAGAACAGGGAAAAGAGGAATCTTCAGAAAAGGACTTATGGAAAAAGGATGCAAAGTGGGATCCAGTTGAAAGAAGGTTTATCCATTTATGAGGCAGCCTCAAGCTGGGCACAACTTAGATATTCTTAGTATGATGCAGCTGTAGAAAGAAATAAATTCTGGAGAAACAGAATGACATGTTTGCACCTCAGAATAAATGTGTTGAATGAAGGAAGCCACCTGGATTATGTTTTAGAAAACACAAGCTAATCTATGGTGTGGGGTGGTGCCAGGAGATGGGTCAAGGTCATGAAAAGAAGCATGTATAAATGTGCAGGGGTGAGGCAAAGTCCGTTCTCAGATTTGAGTACAGTTTTCTAAATGTTTGCATATATCAAAACTCACTAGTTGTAGACTTTGAATATGTAAATGTATAGAATATAAGAGAACTATTTAATGAGAAAGAGCTAAGTTGTGCTGTGTTGTTGGCTTTTGAGTCTCAGAGGTAGTTTAATTCTCCCTTGAAGTCTGTATGATCAACATGATCAGCAGATAGACTGATGGAGTGTGTTTGACAACGTCTGTCTGTCTTTCCTGTGGTCTGTCTGAAAACTCAGTGTTGATTCTGCCTTTTGTGAACTCTAGAAAGTTATTTTTAATGTTTCTTTTATTAAAAAAAATTATTTGGCGGGGGTGGGGGCTGGAGAGAAGGCTCACTGTTTAAGAAAGGATATATACTGCTCATCCAGAGGACCCAAGTTCAGTTCCTAGAATCCAAGTGTGGGGGCTCACAGCTGCCTATAACTCTAGCTTCAGAGAACTCACCTTCTGGCCTCCTTGGACACCTGCATTCAAATGCACATACTCACACCCATACACACACAATTAAAAATCAAGTAAATCTTCAAGAATTTATTTTTATTTATATGTATGCCTGTGCCTGTGCGAGTTTATGTGTCCCACGTGTGTACAGGTGCCTGAGGAGGGCATGAGGTCCCCTGAAACTGGGGTTATAGGTGGTTATAAACCCCATGGTACAGATTCTGGGAATCAGTCACTGTCAGAGCAGCAAACGATCTGAACTGCTGAGCCCTCTCTTCAGCTGCTAGTGTACTTTGTGAATATAAAGACTTTTATCTTTTGCTTATATTGTGTTTTCAACATTTAGAACGATTCTTGGTACAGGCAACAGTGAAGGCTCAGTAGATATTTATGAAAGTAACAGCCAGGGTGCTTTGAAAAGATCCTTGCAGGCCAGGTGTGGTGGTGCATGCCTTTAAGCCCAGCACTCAGGAGGCAGAGGAAGGTGGATCTGGGAGTTTGAGGCCAGCCTGTCTACAGGGTGAGTTCCAGGACAGCAGGGCTGTACAGAGAAACCCTGTCTCAAACAAAACAAAACCAAACAAAACAAAAAACCCAAAGCAAGCAAGCAAACAAACAAACAAGATGCTCGCACTTGCTGTTTCTCTGTTTCTGGCTTCTATGGAAAGCCCCCTTCTGGCTTCCAGAAGTCCTTAATTAGTAAGGCCATCACCATACTTCTTCAAAACACTAGCAAGTATGTTTTCAGTATATCATTTTGTTGTTACAATAAATTTTTCATTTTCAGAGGAAAGTCTTTTTATGTGCTTTTAAATTTCATAGTCTTCCAACTTTGTGTCCAAATGGCTGTGGAAATGTGATTCTTAAGCTCTCTCTCCTTGAAAAGATATTCCTTCTGGAGGAAAACTGGGAAGTCTGTTTTATTGATTTGAAAAGGATAAGTTCCATAAATGCTTTACACAATATGTATAATGCTTATAAAAGCTTTTTTAAAAATGTCATGGTCTGGGGTTGGGGGTGAGATTGCTTGTCTTCTTTTTTTTTTCTTTTTTTTTTTGGTTTTTTTCGAGACAGGGTTTCTCTGTGTAGCTTTACACCTTTTCCTGGAACTCACTTGGTAGCCCAGGCTAGCCTCGAACTCACAGAGATCCGCCTGGCTCTGCCTCCCGAGTGCTGGGATTAAAGGCGTGCGCCACCACCGCCCGGCTTGCTTGTCTTCTTAAACATGAGTTTGAAAAGCAATTAAATCAATGGTTCTCAATCTTCCTAATGCTGAGACCCTTTACTACAGTTGTGGTAGCCCCCAACCATAATACTATTTTCTTTTTTTTTTTTTTTCTTTTTTGGTTTTTAGAGAGAAGGTTTCTCTCTGTGTAACTTTGCGCCTTTCCTGGAACTCACTCTGTAGCCCAAGCTGGCCTCCAACTCACAGAGATGCCTCTGCCTCCTGAGTGCTGGAATTAAAGGTATGCGCCACCACTGCCTGGCCCATAATACTATTTTCATTGCTACTTTATAACTGTAATCTTGCTACTGTTATGAATTGTAATATAATTATCTGTATTTTCTGATGGTCTTGGGTGACCCCTGTGAAATGTTCATCTACCTCGAAAGGGGTCATGACCTATAGGTTGATAACCACTGAATTAAATGATTAGTAATAATGCTACATTTTATAGCACATTTCCTTTTCTTTTTTCCATTTTGTCGCATTTGTTTTTTTTTCTTTTATTTTTTCCTCTTAAACAAAAAGACAAACAAAGTATGAAACAACAGTCAAACAAACAAAAACCCCAAGCCCTCCTGGATTCTATTAGATGTTCGCCAGCTATTCCTGAGCACACTGTCTGCCCTGGGTGTAGAGGCGATGCTCCCGGCATCACTCCATTGAACTAAACTAGTTTTCTTTATCCCGCCAGTCATCAACGGCAGATAGCTTCTTGGTGAGGGGTGGGACTTTGCCATTACCTATGATAATCTTGTCTGCTCTTCCTCATACTGTCATGGCACTTATGGGGTACGTTCTGGGTTTTAGAGGGTCAAAAACTAGCCCTTGTTCCGTGGCAGGCCTAGGTTTCCAAGTCCCACTCCAGAGTCTGGGAATGGGACACTCCAACCTGGGCGGAGCTGAGCAGTTCACAGACAGACCGTGATTTTCACCATAATAATTTTGTGGTAGCAGAAGGCTCTGCTATGAGAATAAACATGGAAGATGCTCAAACTTGTTCTTCCTCTTTCTGTTTGCTTGAGTGGTTGCCAGTTTGCAGAAGCAGTTCCCAGAGGAAGAACTCCATGTAACTTCTACCATGTCCCAAAGTTGTTTTCCTCAGTTGTTTCAGGGAAAGAACAAGAGGCTGAGGTCAGAAAATGTGAAATCCGGACAGGTGGCTTAGCCTCCCTGCGATGAGCTTTCCCCAACTCCCTTGAGGTCTGAGGTTTGTAATAGTGTGAATGACTTTTTTCTTTTAAATTAAAAATTGTTGTGTGGTTATTTCTGAATGATTATGAATACCCCCTCATGTGTGTGCAGGTGTGTGTAGGTAGGCGTATGCATGTGGTACATGCATGGGTATGCATGCATGCATGTATGCAGAGACCAGAGCTGAATGTCAGATGTCCTGGTGTTCTCCTCTGGTGCTGGACATCTCGTTGGCTTGAGACTCTGTTTCTCACTGAAACTGGGAGTTCACTATTTTTGGCTAGGCTGGCTATCCAGAAAACTTCTAGGATCTGTCTGTCTCTCCCCCCGCCCAACTGCTAGAGTTACAGGCAAGTACAGCCATGACCAGGTTTTACATGGGTGCTGGGATTTGAACTCAAGTCCTCATGCTGGCATGGCAAGCATTCTCACCCACTCAGTCATCTTCCCACTTCTCTTGATTGCAAAGTCTGAAGACTATGATTTCATGATCCCATCTAAATTGTTCTCCTTTTCATGTCCAGTGTTGGGAGTTCCATCTTGGGGCTTGGAAGAGATATGGAGAGGTAGTGTTGTCTGCTCTATAGGAACCCATTTCTGGCCTAGCTGTTGCTCAGGATGTTTTCAGAGAATTCTTCGGTACCACCTATTTCCATGCCAATCACAGTATTGGGCAGGAAGCACAGGCATCAGCTTGTTGTACTGGGACCAGCTGAAGCAGATCTGCTCCATATCTTCCAGGATGGAGGCCTTGTGTGGCAACTGGTGATTTAGTTAATTGATTCTGGAGACCTTGTTTGTGCTACAAACTAGACTAAGCTCCTTTTAATGTATTTCTATTAGTCTCAATACATAAATGATTAATATATCAGTTGATACTTGATTTCATTATTGCTAACACAGTCTTTCTAAAACAAGTGTGTAAGATATAGATTTTATTTTATTTTTTGAGTTGAGGTAATGAATGCTTATGTAAGTAAATTCAGGTTGATGATTTCTTATAAAGAGAATACACCCAGCCAGGCCAACAAGAGAACATTACTAACTATCCTGTCCCAATCTCTGCCACACTCCTCTTTCCAAAAATAGCCACCATGCCAGTTTCTCATACCACAGATTGCTTTTACAAGTGCTGGGGTTTGAACTCCTATTATTTTGTGTTCACAATATATGTTTTCTGCCCCACACAGGAATTCAGGTCCAGCCAGGGCAAGAATGCCCTCTTGTATTAGGGTTCAGTACTTATCCCTGTCATTGACAGCTGCGATTTAGTTACAACCACTGGATTGAATCTGTTTACCTTGTAAGCCAGGGAAGAAACAGGTGGAACGATAGTTGACCTGGTTCTAGAAGAATCTATTGTCTGTTGAATCTGCTTTGTACTTTCGCCTTGAGCTCATGGTCTGGAGAAAGTGAGTGGAAGCCAGAGGCAGCACGGCTTCCTCCCACTCCCGCTCTTGCTTCTCAGGGCACGTGTTCTTGGCCATTGACTTTATCGACTGGCTTCGTGGTTAGAAGGGATTGAGGATGGATCCAAGGTAAGGGGAGCTTTTGTGTATCGAGTAGGCTGACTATTCTTATCGAAAGTGTTTTGGAAAGAAGTGTTTCCAGTTTTGAAGGCTTTAAGATTTTGGAATGTGAGTGTAGACCACAGTGGCATGAACATTGAATCTGGAACCTTAGGCTTGGAGATCTTTGGCAAACTGAATTTTTTGAGGGCTGACATGACACTCTTTTTTTTTTTTTAATTGTGGAGTGTTTTTCATTTTAGAACGTTTCAGATTTTGAACTTTTTGTTTAAGGCCATTTAACTCTCACTGTTTTCCTTTTTTCTTTTTGGTGACGCTGAGTAGGACGCTCAGGTCCTACTTGTGCACAGTAGGCAAACGCCGATCATTGCCCTTCACCTGTGACATCGTCCTCCATGACTAAGGTTAAAGAGAACCAATGTTGTGTAATGCTTTAGAGAACTCTTTATGCTCACTATCTGGCTATTGTCCTTACTTTACTATTCTCTGGGCTGACCCAGAATTCATGAGTTAATTTAATGCTAACATGTGAGTTTCAGTACAATTTAATGTCAGAATATTTATCTTCCCTGGTTTATGACATATGCTAGAAGTTATAGCTTTTGGATTTATGTCTCTATCTGTTGGTTTCCTGAGACATTTAAAATGTTAAGTGTATTCATTTCTTCTAATAGTCATGATGCCCTCCCTACCCCCAATCCGTGTGTCAGGCTAAGGGCTATGCTCAGGGTTCCAGTGAGTTGGGGAAGCAGATGTCCATGTGGATAATTTTAATTTATTAGTGTCCTGTACTAGAAGAATACAAGCAGCTGAGCAGTGATTTATGCTGGGCTTGGGGAACAGGGGTGGTGTAATAGGTGGGATGCTCTAGAGGAGCAAGACCAATAGAATATATATATTTCCAGACATGATGGTGTATGCCTTTAATCTCAGCACTTGGAAGGCAGAAGCAGAGGCAAGTAGATCTCTGTGAGTTCCAGGCCAACCTGGTCTACACAGAGTGAGATCCAGGCCAGCCACAAAGATACATGGTGAGACCCTGTGTAAACACACACACACACACACACACACACACACACACACACACACACACACACGGTGGGGGGGCAAAGGCAGAGACAGAGATGGAGAGACAGACAGAGAGATACAGAGAGACAGATATACACATAAAGGGGCTTTATTAGATTGGCTTACATGGTGGAGGCAGAGTAGTTCATCAGTGGTTATCTACTGGAAAGGCAGAGAACCTTGTAGTTACTTATTCTAGGAATTTAGATGTCTCAGAAGTCATAATCTGGCACTAAAGCCTGGAACTCCTTGGGTTCTGAGCCCACACTGGAAGGCTGGAGAAGCTGGAGTCTAATGATAGCTGCACATGCTCAAAAATAAGCAGCTCGGGCTGGAGAGATGGCTTCGCAGTTAAGAGCACTGGCTGCTTTTCCAGAGGGCCTTGGTTCAATTCCCAACACTCACATGGTGGCTCACAACTACCTGTAATGCCAGTTCCAGAGAATCTGATGCCCTCTCTTGGCCTGTGTGGGGACTGTACATACTTGGTGCACAGGCATACATGTAGACAAAACACTCATACATATAAAGTAAAATTAGTAAATCTTTAAAGAAAAGAAAGAAAGAAGTAGGTGTACACACCCTTAGACTTTATATCTATATACGTGTTGGAATTGCTACCCACTGTAGCATGAATCTTAAAAGTTCTTATTAATAAAATCAAACCTGAGGCAGGTATTGGGATGAACTGGAAGATCAGAGAACCAGAACAAGCCACAGCTAACCTCACCTCGCCAGATCCTCAGCTGGTCTTGTTTCCTCAGACTGGAGGCCTCTGTGTCCTCATATCCGAATGGCTCTCAGCTGAACTGTGCCGCTCAAAACCTAAAAGCTTAACCAGCCAAATGCTTCTAGTTTCTGGTCCTCATGCCTTATATACCTTTCTGCTTTCTACCACCACTCCCTGGGATTAAAGGCTCGCTTTCTGGGATTAAAGGGATGAGTCACCATGCTTGGCTGTATCCTTGAACACATGGATTTCTGCCTCTGGAATGCTAGGATTAAAGGTGTGTGCTACCACTGCCTATCCTAAGTATCTAGTGGCTTTTCTGTTCTCTGACCCCAGATAAGTTTATTAGGGTACATAATATTTTGGGGAATACAATACCACCACAACCTACATTGAGGGCTGATCTCTCCTTTCAGTTAATCTTCTCTGGAAATATCCTCACAGATATGTCCAAAGGTGTATTTCCTCAGCAATTTTAAATCTAGTCAGGTTGACAACCAGGATCAATCAGGGAGGATGTCTGAGCAAGTGATAGTGGAGAGGTGGCTTTGGGGCTGAGTCCTGCCTGAAAACCAGGCAGTTTCCAGATGAGCTGTAGGATAGAGAAGGAGTAACAGGAAAAGGAGGGGCATACAGAGAGGCATCTGGCCTGAAAACACAAGATGCAACTGTGGACCACTGGCAGGCCAATGTAATGGAGCATTAAATGGACATGGCACACAGCTGAAGATGAGTCTACACGGTGGAGGAGAGCTTAGCACGGGATGCCCCTTGCATACTGCGTTCAGGAGTTTTTATTTGACTTGAAGATGAGTTCATTGGACACTTTAAAGAAAAGTACTGCTCACATACTTATTTGTACGTTTAACACATAGTAGGTGGATTTGGCTAACAAACACTAAGGGACATTTGTGCTTTCACGGAACGTACAGTCAAGAAAGGGAGACAGTAGCTCATCAGTGTGTCTTAGTCTGCTTAGGCTGGCAACAAAGCACTCTAGTTAGGCTAGCTAGGTGGCTTATAAAAGACAGAAATTAGTCTGTTGTATCTCTGGAGAATGGAAGCCAGATTCTAACCAGCTTAATTGGCTTCTGGTGAACATCTATCTTCTTATATTCTTTTATGGGAAAACTCTCTGGATATCCTCTGAATAAAAGATAGAAATTAGTCTGTTGTATCTCTGGAGAATGGAAGCTAGGTTCTAACCAGCTTAGTTGGTTTCTGGTGAACATCTATCTCCTTGCATTCTTTTATGGGAAAGCTCTCTGGATATCCCCTGGCTTTCCCAGATTTGCCTCAAATTTCCTATGTACTTGAGGATGACTTTGAACTTCTCATCTTCCTGCCTCAACCCCTCGTGTGCTGGGATTACAGTTGTGTGCCACCACAATGGGCACAGAAGGATCTCTTTTATATAGGTTCTGATCCCAATCACTAGGGCTCTATTCCTATGACATAATCATCTCTCAAAGACTTTAGCACCCGATACCATCACACTAGAGGTTAGGGTTTTAACATACATATAGGGTTTTAGCATTTCTAAATTGGGGGCATGCATTCTTTCCATTGCACAGATTATCATATGTCTTTAAAATTACAAGTTGATAAGAATACATAAATACATAAATGTCTCTCAGTGTTCATTGCCACAGGTGTGTATTGCTAGTTCATATGTCATATTGTCTGTGCCATCTCTCTGAAAAACACAGGGGAGTTGCTCACAAGTAAGTGATAATGGATGCCTGAGGTGTGGGTAGGGAGAGTCGTGAGCATATGGTAGTGATATGTGTTTAGTGAAGTTCATCATATAAATATAATGGTTTGTGCCAAGAATGAGTCCAAGAACATGCCCATATGTACCTGGTACCAATTAAACCAGAATAGCTAGAGGAAGAACCTAGGGGTTTGCAGTTTGTAAGGCTGTTCCAGTTGATACGTTTTGCTGCCAAAGCTGCAGTCTGGGTAAGAAAAGATGAAGGGCTTGGAGGAGTGGAAAGGGGAGATGGGATGGACTAGGATGTAGCTGGAACATTCAAGACTTTGTGATCAGTCGCTTGTAGAGGGTGAGAGAGAGAGAGAGGACAAGGAGAGCATTTATTGAGTACCTTACTGTCATGCACTTTAATCTGGTCCCCTGTGTTTTGGGTTTCAGGTATTCCTTTTTTGTAGCAATGGGCTACCTTACGATATGCCACATCAGCCGAATATACATCTTCCACTATGGAATTCTCACTACAGACTTTTCTGGGTGAGTATCTTAATTGGAGGGGGATGTGTTTGACTGATGACTTTGACTAAGTCTCTCAGGGTCTATAAACACCAAGTACACATTAAGGATTATCATGACCAGCTAAATTATAGTGAGATACTGTGCTAATGAGGGTGAGGTAAAAATCTTACTTGTTCTGTACAACATTATAAGAAGGTCACAGATTACAACCCAGGAACCTCATCCCCTCCCGTTTTCTTTGGTCTTATTTGAACACAGTTAGGCATGAGATTATGCCTTGTTTGCAGCCACCTTTGTACTACAGTGGCAGGGTAGAATAGTTATACGTATGGCCCACAAAACCTGAAGTATCTATTCTGTTTCCTGCTAGGGTTTTTATTGCTGTGATGAAACACCATGACCTAAAAGCAGGTTGGGAAGAAAAAGTGTTAATTTGGTTTACACTACCGATTCACAGTTCATCATCAAAAGAAGTCAGGACAGGAACTCAAGCAGGGCAGGAACCTGGAGGCAGGAACTGATGCAGAGGCCATGGAAGAGTGCTGCTTACTGGCTTCCTCCCCATGGCTTGCTCAGCTTGTTTTCTTATAGAACCCAGGACCAGGACCTAGGGATGGCACCACCCAAGATTGGCTGGGCCCTCCCCCATCAATCAGTAATTAAGAAAATGCCCTACAGCTGGATATTATGGAGGCATTTTCTTAATTGAGGTTCTCTCCTCTCAGATGACCTTAGCTTGTGTCCAATTTATATAAAACTTTCCAGCACACTTCCTTTATATATTTCATCTTTTTTAAAAGGATTTAAAAAGTGTGTGTGTGTGTGTGTGTGTGTGTGTGTGTGTGTGTGTGTGTGTACAACTTGAATGCATTATGGTGGAAGCTAGAAGAGGACATTGGATCCCTGGAGCTGGAATTATAGATGGATGCCAGCCAGAGAAACTGATCTTGAGTCCTCTGGAAGAGCAGGAAGAATTTTAACTGCTGAGTCATCTCTCCAGCCCCCTACACTTCACCTCTTACTAGTTAATAATACACCATAGCTGATAAACAAGTGGTACCATGATGCCTTTTAGCATCCTTTGGCTCTACTGAACCCATGATTCCACCTCCAGATCCTCTAGACTTGTATCAACTACAAGGGAAGTCCTTGGTACAGCTAGTGACCTGTGACTTGATGGGCCATCCCCCTCCGTACTGGCCCTCTGGTACAGGCCATTGCTAACTCTGTGTCATGGCGCTGAGGCATCTGGAGTCAGCAAAGTGAATAGAGCACTTAGCTGCAAGCATGAGGAACTGACTTTGATCGCCAGAACTCACAGAAAAAAGCCAAGTATGGTGGCACATGCACATGATTCCAGTGCTGGGGAGACGGAGATAAGGGGATTCCTGGGCTCACTGGCCAGTCAGCCCAGCCTACTTGGAGAGTTCCAGGTCATGAGAGACCCTGTCTCAAATAACTAGGATAGCAATTGAGGAATAACACCCAAGGTTGTCCTCTGTCCTCTACAAGTGCACATGAGCCTGCACGTACACACACACCTCTCTCTCTATATATATCTATATGTGTGTGTGTGTGTGTGTGTGTGTGTGTGTGTGTGTGTGTGTATGATATATATGTATATATGTATGTTCATATTAGTTCAAGCACAGCCTTTTATGACTCTTGTGGAATGAAGGCATTGTTGTTCCTGGTGACTCTATGTCATCTGACAGGAATTCCCCAGCATGGATCAGGAGAACCCAACTTCTCTCCTCTAGCTAGATTACTCTTCATTCAGTGAATCCTTGGTAAATAGGCTTTGCTCTAAGGGGGGAAAATACGTAAATTCCTATGAATCATAACGAGTGGATGTGCCACCAATTATGAGGTGTTTAACAACATCAATTAAAAGAGGCTTATTTCATTGGTGTTAAATAAGGTTAAGAACTGGGACTGGCCTAAATGTGTGAAATCAATGGTTCTTGTGCTGTACATAGGCATAGGGGAAGTGATGATGCCTGTGATCAGTAATGCTGATAGTCAAGATCCATTGTCAACCTGATTAGATTTCGATTGGTGAGGTACACTTCTTAACATGTCTGTGAAGGTGTTTCCAGAGAATTAACTGATGGGCTAGGATCCACCATGAATCTGCATCAGCTTCTGCCTCCAGGTTCCTGCTCTGTGTGAGTTCCTGTCCTGACTTCTTTTGATGATGAACAGATATGGACATATAAGCCAAATAAACACTTTCTTACCCAACTTGTTTTTGGTCATGGTGTTTTGTTGCAGCAATAGAAACCCAAACTAAGCCAGAGCCTAAGGCCTAAAAGCCAGGAGTTCAGATCTCTGAAGGGAGAAGATGGGTGTTCCAGTGTGGAACTAGAAGAATTCACACTTGCCTTGCCTGCTTGTCCTGTCCAGGACTGCAGTGGACGGTATAATACCTCCACCCATGAGGACAGGGATTCTTCACTTATGCCACTGATTCTCAGCACCTTCATGCACATATCCAAAAGGAAGGTTTACCAGTTGCCTGGGCATTCTTTAACCCAATTAAGTTGGCATATAAACTTAACCATCTCAGCTTACATAGAAGCTGATTATATATACACTTATCTATAAATGTGTGGGCATAGGTGTGTATGCATATCTATAAATGTAAATAAATAAATATGGATTTATGTATATGAAAGGAGAGATAGTAGTTTGTCTAAAACCAGTTGGGGGACTTTGAGAAGCCACTGAAGGAAGTTTAGTACAGTAAAAACAATGGCTGCTGAATTAAATGTGGATGAGGCTGCTGGGAACATTACAGAACACTGAAAATATCAAGGATTCTTCGCTCAGATTGCTTTGCAAGCACCTTTTTGTTTTGTTTTTCCTCCCTTATTTATGCTAGAGGAAGTGACCCTAGCGATCTCAAGCAGAGTTTATGCAAGAGCTTACCATTGTGCAGGGGATCTACACTCCAAGGAAAGGCCCTGCTCCTCCATCAACGGCTCTTTCATTCATTATTCAGCAGACATAGACTGGGAACTCTGTGTACAGCAGACATGGAAGAGACAGACAGGAGTGAGTACAGCTGCAGAATGAGTGTGCACTCCTATTTTTAGATCACATAGAAACTAACATGTGACCAGTATCAAGCCCAGGATTGGCTGTCCTTCCCAAACTCATGTCCACCCAGCCCCAGGCTGTGTCCTCATTTCCAAACAGTGTCTTTGCAGATGTAGTTAGTTAAGTTGAGATGGCCCTGGGTCAAAGTATATGCTTTAGATTCAGTCTGATTGGTTTTTGTAGGAAGGTCTGTATAGATAGAGCCAAGTCACATTTAGAGAGAAGATGGTTGTGTGAAGATGGGGTAGAAATTAGGGGTGCAGCCAGAGTCCAGCCATGTCAAGAATTGTTGTCTACCAGCAGAAGCCAGGAAGAAGCATGGGGTACATTACCCTGCTGAGCCTCCAGAAAGAACCCCCACCATGTGCATCTGATTAGCCTTGGACTTCTGTTGTCTAGGACTGTGAATTTAAAAAACAGAACTCAAATTTTGTTGTTGTAAGCCATCCAGCGTATGACAATTTGTCATAGCAGCTTTAAGCAGCTCATACACATTGATTCATGACTATCCATCTTTTGATGTTTGATGGGTCAACACACATCTCTTGTTCCTGACTGTGTGGGGTAAGAACATCTCGCCGTTCACGTCTTGGATGCTTGTCTTATACCTCCTCCTCCATTTGTTTTAGTAACACCGTCCATTTTTCTCCTGTTCTCTTTCCAGTCCTGCTCGTGTATTCCAGACTGGTCTCTTTTCAATAGCATAAACTGGGCTTGAACCTTCAGATCAGCCTCTTAGTTGTGTGCTGGGTTTATGGGTATGCATCACACACCTAGCATCTTTTGCATTATTTTTAGTATGTTCAAAACCATGGAAAGTTACCAGAATGGAAAGTTCAAGGGAATTCGGGGGAAGCAGTCACGTGCTTGTACCACAGAGCTGATGCTGTGTTTACTGACAAGGAAGGTACAAATCAGCTCCCATCTTCATCACTCTCTGCATTTGGTGAATTTCCTCAAGTGGTTTTTATTCTGTGGCTTTTTTTTTTAACTTCCTGTAAGAAATCTCTGGAGGTTACACAAAATACTGCTGAGTTCTCAGCTTGCAAGGACATGCTTAGGGAGCAGACACAAAGAAGGTGTGCTCACTATTTGAAAAGTGTATGTGAGTTAGTCTTCTGATGAATGAGTGGCCATGTTATCCACTACATGGAGGTTTGTTTCTTTTTTATTTTAGAATAAAAATGGCAGATATAAACCCATCTTTCTGGCTAATGTCAGTCATCATAAGTAGAGAGGTACCCCCACCCTGAAATTGACAAGGGGCTTCAATCATAAATTGGCAACAATTATAGGGGATCTTCACCAAGGTTAATTCTTTAATAATTTATTATTATTATTACTTTTTAAATATTAAAAATATTTTACATTTATTTAATCTGTGTATGTGTGCATGGCATGGCACCCATGTTGGAGGTCAGAGAATAATTTCTGTGAGTCAGTTCTCTCCTTCTACCACATGAGTCCTGAGGAATTAACTCAGATCATCAGGCTTGGTGGCAGTCACCTTTATTGGCTGAACCATCTTACTGGCCCAGAATGCTGGTTCTTACTACAAGCATGCAGAAGCTACAAGCTTTCTTTCAGAATGGAATTGACTTAACCTTGCTGTTTCTTTCAACTGAAATGCAGTGTTTAGGATTGTGTCAAGAGATAAAGTGTTGTTTCAAAGTGGAATGTGGTGTCACAAAGCAGCCTGATGTGGGAGCGTCTGTCCTGTGAGCATGTGGGCAAATCTTAGTGCTTAACATTCTTTACTGCACCTTTAAGTGTAAGAGCACAGACCGGAGTTTAGTGGGATTGGATGTGATTAGTGTTTGTGTCAGAACATGTGTGGATGTCTTTAATTTGGGAGAACATACGCACTTGAATGTTAGGTTGTTCTGGGACTTGAAAGTTTATTTATCATTCAAAAG